ATATTTAAAGGTAATTCTGTTAAAATGAGGTCATTGGGGTTGTTCCTAATAAATATGACTGATGTTCTTATAAGAAGAGGAAATTTGGACACAAACATATACTGAGAGAAGACACAAAGAGAAGGGGGCAACCATGAGTCTAAGATCACCCACACGGTTCCCTTAAATAAAACATCTCAATTGACTTATGACTGTGGTGTCATGCATTTGGTATTTTTTATAATTTGGGGATGATATTACTCACCACGGAGGCCTTGATGCAGTCAAGCTTATTGTAGCTCTGTGGTTCAGTTTCTTTGTTTCTTAAATGGTGCTGATGGTAATATCTACCACGTAGGGTAGCTGTGATACTTAAATTGGATAATGCCATGTACAGCACTTAGTACAGTGCCTAGCACATGGCAGGTCATCAAAAATCCAACTATTGTAATATTATATCAGATTTGTCTGTTTCCTTCTCAGCTTGCCACACTACAAATAAAAGTCTTTCAATATATTAGTAAATCATTGATTTATGTGTCTTTCTGAATATGCAGATGTTATGCTTTCCTAAGTCCATATCATCCCTGGAATCATAATACCTACTTCATAAATTTGTTGTGAGGATTAAATGAGATGAAGAATGCAAAGTGCCTGGCACATAACAGAATCTCAATAAATATTGATAAGATTGATACTTTTTCTTGTTTTGTTTTGTTTTAAATCTCTTTCATCAGTGAGAGAGAGAGAGAGCAAGAAAGAGGAAGAGAGATAGCACTTCTAACACTATGATCCACAACCAGCCTCAGATAGTGGGCACACACATGCCTGGCATACTCAGGGAGGTCTCAAGACAAGCACCCAGCATTTTCCCACGTAGGTCAGTCTCATAGACTTGCATTGTATCACTGTGTTCCCTGCAGGTCCTATTCTTTTTCTTAGTAATTGCTAAATGCATGGCAAACTTGCAAAGTAGGTAGATATCTTTAATGTTTCACACCTAGTCCCCTGAGACCTAGTCCCTGAATCCCTCTCCATCTTTCAGTTTATCCTTCAGTAACACTTTGTAATCCATACCTGGCCTTCAGCATTCGCACTGCTTTCACCTCCAGGCTTCTGCTTAGTCTCTCTACATAGATTGCCCTTCCCTCCTTCCAGAATTAACCCCCAACCATACAACACACCACACATCCATCATCAGTTACCCCTTGTTCTGTCTTTGTCTATCTGCATATCCACTTTTCCAGCTAGATCATGATTTTATTGGGGGCACGATCTGTGTCTTTTTTTTTTTTATGATAGTATGTGCACAAGTATGAGAGAGAAAGACAAAGAAAGAGTTGGGGATGGAGAGAAACCACCCTCAACTGGGTCTGGTCACACCATGATCTCCTTTCTCCAGCCCTCCAACTCCTTAGGATCTTGGGCATCCTGCCTCACACCCAGTGTGTTTTCAGGCCTATCTGCATATCCGAACCCATGGTCAGTCATGTGACTTCCAGCATTGCAGTCCAGTACACTACAGACTGCACCATCTGGTTGGGCCATAATGTGTCTTACTTACCTCTGATTCCCCACTAACACAGTACCTGGCACAGGGGTGCAGAGTGACTGTTGAATGATTCCATCTGAGAAAGAGGTGACCCTTATATCCCCTTTCTGCTCCACCCAGAAAGCTACCAGTTCTGTCTGGAAGTGGGACCCCCCTGTAGCTCTCTGGATTTATGCAAGAACATTTTGCTGCTTGGAATCTCTCCATCCAACACAATATATGTCAGCAAAATGAGGTTTCACAGAGTGGAGCCAAGGTGGCCCTGCCCAGTCAGCCTTCCCCACGTAGAGGTATGCAGTATGTCAATACAAGCTGGACTTGTATGCAAATACACGGCAGCTCTCTGAACTCTGTCACTGAACTATCTAGATTTCTCTGTATCTCAATTGTATTTGCTCTTGATCAGCCTGACTATAACATGCAAAGCTGTACTGAATTATTAGCAATACTGCTTGAGAGTAAGTACTACAACGAGGGAAATGTCAAGGGGACAAAATTTTGAGTATAATGGTGCCAAATGCCAAGAAGGAAATACTTCCACCAGGGCCTCATCCCAAGGTTACACACAAAGATAAGAGGACTTAGGCAAACACAGAAGCAACAGGCCCAGCAGTTCTCAAAAACACAACTTAAACAAACATTTATGGATCTAATATATTTTGTTATTAATGTTTAACATAAAATAATTATAATCAAGAGGAAAAATCATAAACACTGTAATTAAAAAACGATTCAGTAAGCTATAAGTCTACACAATGCAGATGAAATTTCATATTCTGCTACCTCCTCTGGCTTTTACCCAAGAACATTTAAAAAAAAAAAAAGACAAAGAAGAAGAAAAAAAAAAAGGAAAATGAATGCATCTAAGAAATTGACTTTTGAGAGAATAAACGAGACTCCTCAGCAGTCTTTGAGAACACAGGCACCAGTACTCTCCATTCTGTTTGTCTGGTCAGTGACCCCAACATCTCGTTTGTCTCTGACCTTGAGATACTGTTGGGAACCAGGACTACAGCTTATTTCTGGTTTTCTGGCCACTCAAGCAGAAAGAGTACTGCCTCTATCATTTCTCCAAATTTCAGGACTCTATAAGAGACTCGTATGACCTTGGGAACAGGAGTTAGTTGGCTACCCTTTGTTGTCATCACAGAGCTAATGCTTATGGCACTGAGATGAAATCTCACCTATGCAACTTTGATCTGTAGGGATTCAAGCAAGTGGAAAGAAGGCGACTCCAGCCCTGACTATAGCTTGGCCACTAGACTCTGTTATTATAGAAACTCTGCCTCTTCTTTCCTTCTACTCTCAGAACCAATGTACCATAGGCTCCACCAGGAGGCATCTCTAGTGTCTCCCTAAGATCTAACTCCGTGACTCTGGAGGGAATGTTCAATGTCTTGGGCACAAGGTGGCAGTATATACTACCCTATTTCAAGGGCCATGGGCTTGTGAATGAAGCCAGCTGAAAAGAGGGTGGGAAGTGCTGACTGAAATTGAAATCTATGACTTTTACATGAAAACTTAACATTGTAAATAGTTTACATTTTTAAAGAAATCAATAATCATTGAATCCTACACACTCAAAGTATCCCAAGTCTCCAAGTCCTGAGACATCCTGGAAACCGATCACTATCCAGCATATCCCTATATCTCACGAAGCCAGAGTCCCATCCAGTGCACCAGGCTGCCTGGCTCTCCACAGATCTGCCCTTTCACTTTATCTCAGCCACAGAATCGTCCTCTCCTCAAAGCTAAGAAACCCTGGACCTACAGTTTCAAGAGCCTTGCTCCTTCCTCTGGAGCTCCTCAAGCTCCTGAATATCTAATCTGCACATCTTCTGAAAGGATAACTAAGAATGGACTGAGATCACATAAGGTGGTCAACTGGTTTCAGAAAAGAGCAGGGAGAGCAAGTTTGTAAAAGTAAGAGAAGGTAAGGGAAGTGAGGTGAAAGATGGGGTGCAGAGGTGAGTGAAGTGAGGGAAATGAAGGCAAAAGACAGAAAAGGAGAAGAGAAAAAGAAGAAAGGGTGTGAAAGAGAGAATAAAGAAATAGAAAAAAAGAGGATAAACTAAATGAGAGAAAGGAAAAGGAGAGGAAATAGGAGCAAGAAGAGAAGAAATGGGTAAAGAAAAAGAAAAATGAGAGAACAGACAGAATGGTAGGGGAAAGACTAACTAGAAGAGAAGACTGTGAGTATTCTCCAGACAGCGATGACAAATGGTTGAAAAGAGGGGTGTGCTGGTTGCCTGGATTTGGTTATTGCACATTGTGTTCTTGTACTGAAAAATCGCACTGCACCCTACATAGATCTATGATTATTATACACTAACTCAAAAAGAAAGAAACTTAAGTAAGTAGAAGAGGCCCAGCAGGTGGTGTGGAGGTTAAGGTGGCTGGATTCCCACATGGCCTGCTGAGTGGTTCGAGTCCTGGACTGGCTTGAAAAACAAGAGAGAGAGTGTGTTCCAGCATGCGCAAAACCCCAAGAAGAGAATGGAAGAGAAGGGATTGTGCATGGCCATCCGTCCAGGAGTTGCTTTCTCACTTTGTCTCTCTCTCTCTCTCCCCCTCTCCCTCTCCCTCTCCCTCTCTCTGTCTCCCCTGCCTCTCTCTTGTGAGCACATGCACCCTGTAGCAGAACTGGAGAAAAAAAGGAAAAAAATGGGAGAAGAAGGAGCAGAGAGAAGAAAAGAAGATTGAGAAGAGAGAGAGAAGGGCAGCTGGCCCAGAAGCTGGCATTCCAAAAGCCAGGATAGGGATCTCCTTAGATGGGATTCAGGGAAGAGAGGAGAGGGCAAGTGGAGAAAAAGAGAGAGAAGAGAGAGAGAGAGAGAGAACAATGAATGAAGTGAGAAGGAAGGGACAGAAGAAGGGGAGAGTTTTGCTTACAGCACTTACTGGGTATTCCTAATGCAATGCGTGCCCAGCACTCTCTGGCCCTCAACAGGAGCAACTGCTCTCTGCACCCCCAAGATACAAGCGCTTCTAGGGGATGACTGTTAAGGCTAAGACACGGCGGGCTCTAGAGGCCAGTGTCTTTCCTGTAGGAGGACCCATCCCGAGATGGGACTAGAGACTTCCCCCCTACCAGAGTTAGAGACCCACTAGGCAGGGCAACCGGGCGATCAGAGAGCCGCAGCGGCCCAGGAGGGCTGCGTGCAGATTTCTGGCAGAGGATGAGCCCTGAGAGTCCAGAGAGCTTCAGCGGAGACGCTGGGCGCGCGGAGAGAGGGAGAACCGAGCTCCACTCCCAAGAGCCCGGGCGAGGCTGCGAGGACAGCATGGGTGCAAGGGTGCAGGCGGCGCGGGGCCGGGCGGTCTGGAGCGCGCCGGCGCCCGCCCCCAGCCGGGAAAGCAGTGGAGGAGCGTCCTCCGCCGGCCCCTGTGGGGTAATTTAAATGCTGTCACAGCCTGGTGCTGAGTCCAGGGCGTGCAGCTCGCTCACTCGCTCACTTGCTCCCGGCTCCTGCCACCGCTCAGCCGGCACAGCCCAGGGGAGCCTGAGAGCAGGAGAGCCTGGAGCAGGGGTGGGAGGGATCGAAGGAGGGAGGGAGCAAGGGCCCGCCCCGGCTCTCCCTCTGCCCTGCTGCCCGCCCTTCCTGCCGCCACAGGTCCGCCCCGAGCTCCGCTCACACTTGGGAAACTTGGGACTGTGCTGGGGCCGCGTGTGGCACCTCAGGGGGGCGGCCCCGGTCTCGAGAGGAGGGGGAGGAGGAAGAGAAGGAAGTGAGCCCGAAGGATCCGCTCAGAGCTGTTTGTCCAGCTGTTTCTATTCGCACCCCAAGCAGCACAGCCAGAAGGGGGCCGAGCCTAGGGTGGCTGGCTTTAGGCGCTAATTTCCAACTCTTCTCCTCGCAGCTTGTCTTTTTCAGACACCCTGGAATCCCCTCAGACCAGCCCGGCGGGCGCGCACCTGCCAGTCGCCCCTGACCTCACAGGCCAGGGGACCCCTGAGCCGGAGAAGATGGCCCAGGCCAAGACTGATTGCCGCTCACCTGTCGGCCTCGATTGCTGCAACTGCTGCCTGGACCTGGCCCACCGGAGCGGGCTCCAGCGAGGCAGCAGTGGGGAGAACAACAACCCGGGCAGCCCCACTGTGAGCAACTTTCGGCAGCTGCAGGAGAAGCTGATTTTCGAGAACCTCAACACGGACAAGCTCAACAGCATAATGCGGCAGGATTCGCTAGAGCCGGTGCTACGAGACCCCTGCTACCTGATCAACGAGGGCATCTGCAACCGCAACATCGACCAGACCATGCTCTCCATCCTGCTCTTCTTCCACAGGTGGGTGGCTGGGCACTCGGGTGAGTGAGCGATCCCTGCTCACAGTAGCCTCCGCTGAACTGACCCTCACCTCTGATAAAAGGGTCGACCAGGAGGTTCACAGGGGTGGGAGCACGGGGAGGTCGGGCTCACAGACCTCCACCACTGATCCTTGAGGCTCCCTGGAGTACTGTGCACCTGAGGGGAGGCCTGGCAGGTGCCAGCGCTCTTTTGAAGCATGCCTGCACGGGCTTCCTGAGGGGGATGCAGGGACTCAGGGGTCCAGAAAGTGGACAGACCTCAGATGATTTAGAGGTAGCTGCTGGCAGTCACCTCTCCTGATATGCATACATTTCACAGCTCTTTTGGAGATTCAGCCGTGGGGTCCTCTTGGGAGCTGAGTTCCACCTTTCTCAAAAGCCCATTTCTAAATGCGCATACTCGGATGGAAACTGCAAGGGCTTTTACATTATGGAATGGCCCTGACTGACGGTGAGGGCACACAAAATGTCAAGACCAATTAGACTGCTGCTAGTTGGGGGGAAGAGGATGGGGAATAAGAAAAATAAGAATCAGACACCTGTGAGAATGTCTTGAGATTCTAAGAGTGGGGACTCCATTCCCTGTATGGGTGATAGCCTTCAATTTCAAATGAAGGCTCAAAGCAACCCCAGGGAGCATCCTAGGACATCTCTTTAAGTGCCTCAAGAACTATGTGTGGTGGAGGATGGATGAATTCATGTTGTTACAGGCATGGATTTGAGTGCAGGTGAGAATGACTAGAAATCCTACTGGGGAAACAAGTAAGGGAGACAGGAGGAGGGAAACATAATGTGAAGACCAAAGACAACTGCTGTCCCCCAAGTCTGAGATGCTCTCATAAAGCAGGTCTCAGGGGACAACTGAAGCAATTTAGAGGCAGGGAAAGCAACTTCAGGAAACCCAGACATGGATTTGGAGTTCCTAGAGCCATGAGGACAAGATACTAGTGTATGTGTGTGTGCATGGTGGTGGGGGGGTGGATTTTATGCTTGCTCCATGATGCAAGTTATGTAAGAGAAAGTCATCCCCACCCTAGGAGTCCTGAGTTGTAGTACAAGTTGTGACTCTACCTTTGTGTGTGAGCCTGAGCAAATTGCCTGATCTCTCTGATCTAAGGTTCCTTAGAGCTCTGAGAGTCTAGGTCATGGGCAAGTGATGTGCACCATGTGATAAGAAATTCTGAGCACTCACGAACTATCTGGATGGCAGTAGCTCAAATAGGAAGTTTTAAAAGCAATCAAGAAAGGCAGGAGTTACCCTTATTTAGTGCTAAAAAGAGTTTTGCCTCCCTTACCCCAAGACAAATTTACCATCACCTTCCCATTACCCCAGCCCCAGTGGTTCCAGGCAGGGACAAGAAGGGCTTCCAACTTCTTCAGTGTTATCATTACAAGTTGAACTTTTCAGACATTTTTGATGCCGTAGAAGTCCTTTTCCATTTATTAGTTCACTTCGAGCATCAAACTATCTCATTGTCTAAAATAAACCAGACCACAGACAGAACAGGTTTCAAGGATATCTTTATTGCTGGTGAAAGATTGCTACTAGTGTATTCAGTCCACAGATGCTGTAACCCTGTGGAGTAAAATCCCTAACAGGTTTCTAACGATCCCGCTAGGCTCAGTTGGAGAGTGGCAGCAGGGGAGAAATGGCAGAGAAACCTAGAAAGAGAACCTTAGCATATGCATTCTTTCAACTGAGAGAACAAATGCCCCTCCATGGTGTTGGTGATGGATTAGAGGGGATGCTTCCTCTGGTTCTGGGTCTAGGAGGATCAACCTGGGTTAGCAAAGTATGAGGCTGAGTCTGTGATCAAAATGTTCACTTGTGCCACACCTGGAGAGCATCTGGCTTATTTAAGTGCCTTGAATGAAAAGACACTATTTGTCATCTACTTAATGGACACCCATTTACTGATGCTTGGGTTCTTGGCAGAGCCTAGAAATGCTATAGGTAGGGGATGCCGTGTGTGTAGGGTGGAACGAAGGCACAGATTGAGGGAGGAAGGCGAACAGTTGGGAAGGTGTAGCTGAGCCCAGGTGATTGGGTTCTGTAGAAATGTCCTTATAGATCTAGCAAGACAAAGCATTTTCTCACTTTTCTTGACAGTTGCGACCTTAGAGATTGGAGATTCCGAATTCAATTTAAGTTTTGCCAATAATAACATGCTCAATAGAAAACTAGGAGACCGTTATGGCTGATCATGGAGCTTCTCCAGTGTCCAGCCTGGAGAGTATTTCCTTTCTTACTTCATTTAGTTCTCTGGGTTTCTATCTTCAGACTTCAGTCATAGTTTTTACTCCCAGTCTGTTTAATGACATTGTAGGGTCCTGTTTGAAAATCTCTTTCCTTTGTCTGCTTTCAAGGCCACCTCTCCAGCTGGAGAAGCTCCTCTCCCCACACCTCCTCCTGCTCCTCCTGCAGCCCATTTTCCTGCTGCGAAGGCTCCTATATTCTTGGGAAGAAGGGTGGGGCACATTCTTGATTTATATCTGGTTTGTCTGCTTTGACCTGTCCCTGGTTCCCAGCTTGGTGCTTGGTTTTCTTAGAACGCAGGAGTGTAGTCAATTTGAGGGTAGGGCTGTGTTTTACTTGCTTGGTTTTTCCTTGGCTTCTGGTGATATCTCTAGTAATCAATAAATGATTTTTTGGTTGAATGACTACTTGTTTTTTGCATTCCATGTATACATTCTGAAACTTTAATCTTCTCCTGGAAAATCCTTACTAAGGTTTAGGTGTGTGGTTTATATTTATTTAGTTAGTTTTCACCATATGCAATCATTCTAATAGCCTGGTAGAAGTCCTGATAGACAGTGCTGTGTATATATACATATGAATCAGTGGTAATGGGCATGCAGCTTGTTGGTATTTAGCAATTGATGTTCCCTAAACTACTGGGGGGAAGAGCTGTATTTTAAACACCATCCCTCTTATCTTTTGTTAGGTAACTAATAACTATAATGGATTAATAGCTAACATTTATTGAACATTTACAATGTGCACCAAGCATTATATCTGCATAATTCCATTTAATATTTGCACTAACCTAGTGAAATGGGTACTATTATCACCCATTTTCATTTTATGAAGAAGGAAATTAAGGCTTGGAAAAATTAAGTCACTTGCCCAATGCCTCACAATGACGAGCAGGGCTAAGACTCCAACTGAAATCAGTGGGAATTGTCTATAATGGAAGAGTTATTAAGAACAGTAAAGATCTAAACTAACACCAGAGAAACTGTATTCAAAAACTAATGACCTGTCTATGAAGCAGAGGTAAATGTAAGCCCAGAACCTATTCCAAGTGATCAAAATATCTTTAGTAGGTAATGGGACCAAACTTTGTGGTCCTGGGACATAGGATTTTCAGTACTCAGACTGGAGTAGCTGCAGGGAAACGCAGAATGTTGGTCGTCCAATTATTCAAGGACTCTACCTTGTCATTTGAATATGCTTCTAGTCCTGGAAAATTTATGAGGGAAACAGAATATGCTGAGTAAACTGAAGTTTCCAATTTAAATGCAGCACATGGAAAAATTCCTAAGTCAAAATTTGAAGGACCTTGGGGCCAGCAGGTGGTGTAGTGGTTAAGGCACTGGACTCCCACATGGCTAACTACAGTTCAAATCCCAGACCCTGTGACTAGAAACACATGGGGTACATGTGAGTGCATGCCCAAAATCCCAAGAGGAGAATGGAAGAGAAAGGATTGCAGCGTGGCCATCTCCCAGAGGGTGAATTCTCACTTTCTGTCTCTGATGAGAATATGCACCTTATAGCAAAAACCTCTAAAACTTTTTTTTGAAGGGCCTTAATTCTCTGTCTCTGGAATGGGAGCTTTGGCAATATTCTGTGTTTGTGATTGTAATTGTAGCCTCTAATTTATTTATTTTCCTTTCTTTTCTTTTTTCTTCTTTAGAAAAGAAGACAGAGGGAAACAGAGAGGCAGAAAGTGAGAAATCAGCCCCTGGAGGGGGCGGGGGGATGGCCACACTGCAATCCCTTCTCCTCCATTCTCCTCTCAGGATTTTGGGCATGCATGTAAAAACACCCAACATGAGTTTTAAGCCACCAGGTCTGGTACTTGAGCCACGGTAGACTACATGGGAGTCCAGTGATGTAACATTCACACCATCTGCTGGTCCCCTATTTCTAAGATTTTACCCAAAACTTCTTAATCAGCTCTGTTCTGTTTTGGCCCCAGAGAATACCTGGCCAATGTGGTCTGAAATACTCTGAGTCTGAGTTTGTTTTTTTTTTTTTTTCTAGCTCTAAAAGCCCTAAGATTCTACCTTTAAACTTTTGACTTGGCACCAACTGGTTCCCACGACTAGAGACTCAGAAAGTAACAATATTAGCAAACATTTCTAATTGCTTTATGTGAACTAATTCATTTAATATCCCCTATTGAGCAGATATGCAGTAGCACAAGGAAAGGATATAATACAGATATTAAGTTTTCAAGAAAAAAATGTACACTAAAATTATTTGTGCTTCTCTGAGTCTTGAAACTAATGATTACATAATGTGTATTCCTGGATCTAGCTTTTGAGGTGATAGCCACTAACAAGGTGTGATTTGAGAGGCTGCCTGCTTTTGTGCCTAGAGTCATACTATTTAAGATTTAGTTCTCAGTCACTGTACCAGCTAAAACTCCTCTCCCATAGCATCAGTGGTATGTGGACCACACCGTGAGAAAACCCAAATTAGAGATTGCCACTCTTTGTCAACGAATTTACCATTTGGTTTTGAGGATGGAGTTCTTTGCTGCAGAGAGGTTTTGGGTTTCTATGTGGTTAAGCCTGTCATTCTTTGCCTTTGTGATTTTTGCCTTTGGTATCAAGCTTTGAAAGTCCTTTCTTAGTCTAAGGTAATTTAAAATAACTATTTCCTGAGTCCCCAGTGGTTTGACAAATAATAGGCACTCTTGGATTAAGAGATATTCTCTGTTGAAAGCACAAATGCATTTGCAAATTTAA